GCTTTCATTGTATCCCTCTGATTTCACAGCAGTGTTCTGGGACTGAGGGTTTTTGTGTCAGAAGGAGAGTGAAGCTGACAGTAGAGACACTGCAAAAGGAAACACCAGCTGGCTGGGCAGTATTGTGAAACCAGAGCAGTGCATACTCTGTGTTACAGTAATAAATAATTAGGCAGCAGTCTAGAAACACTGTGTTCATTGTGTGTTAGTTTGTGTTTCCCTAGTAATGGCAAGATAAAGTTTCATCAGGGTTTGAAGCCTTTCAGCTAACTGCCTCAAGGAGGTTCAAATGTTGAGGGCTTCATGTGTACACAAACCCCCCTGCTGGTAAAAAAAAAACCCCAAATAGGCAGAGTTATTATAGGTCATGTTAAGTGCACTATATGTGTTTGTTTTTACCAGTGTGTGCATGGCAGCAAAAACAAGAACTACATTCACCTTAATACATGTGTTTGTTTCACTGTGTTGTATCCTCCATCCCGTTTTGGCGTTTTGGCGCACAGACTTAACAATGTGGTGTATGCTGTACAGTGTAGTGAAGAATGCCCAGACCTCTACATTGGAGAGACCAAACAGCCACTTCACAAGCGCATGGCACAACATAGAAGAGCCACCTCCACAGGACAAGACTCAGCAGTCCATCTGCATCTTAAGGATAAAGGTCACTCTTTCGAGGATGCCAATGTTCACATTTTGGACAGAGAGGACAGATGGTTTGAAAGAGGAGTGAAAGAAGCATCTATGTCCACTGTGAGCGACCATCTTTGAGCAGAGGCGGGGGTTTCCGACACCAACTCTCTGCCATCTATAATCCAGTTTTGAGATCCTTCCCAGACGCCTTAACGCCCACTCACATCCTGGGCCATCTGACCTCAGGAATTCGCATGATAAGGTGGGGCCAGGTTTCACAATGAACTCACCCGAAACTCTGGCTGATTGGGACCCACACCCAGTTTCACACCTTGGCTCAGGCGATTAGAGGATCATCAGGGGGTCCTTTTGTCCCTCTGTGGGGGTCACTCCCACTAGGTTTATATCTGGGACTCTCCACCATTTGACCTTAGAACTGAAGAAGCTTCTCGGATGAGAGGTGAAACGTCTTCAAGTAACTTAAGGAAGTCCAGACGCTTTTCTTTGCAAGCTCCTTTGACTACGATGACCTGGATGACTGAGAACCTTCACAGTTCTTCACAACAATGACACAGCTTCTAAATATTCTACATCAAAACAAATCTGTCACCAAATCCACCAGATTCGCTAGCAGGTGTCAAGCAAGACTGAATGGATTTAAGTGCAGACCCAGCCTGAAAAACAAGAGTTCACAGTTTATTCGCACAAATCACCAAAGTGCAACTGTAAATACAAGTGACGAGCAGGATCCAGGGATCCGGGGGGGGGGGGGGATAGGAAAGGAATTTCTTTTATTTATGTATCATTCACATTATTTTATTGTATAATGCCTTGGTGCCACTGGATTTTAACATGTCTCACACTCATACAGTAAGACAAATGGTGGGGGTCTAGTAAGGAAGTTGGGGGAAGCAGACAGCTCCACAGGAAGTCTTTTGTCTCTTCGAGGACTCTGGGAGGTAGCAAGGGAGTGTGAGACAGCTGTGTACTGCCTTTTGTTCCTGTGAAAGGTATTTAACTGAGAGCCATGCTAGGCTCAGAGAGACTCTGCTGACCATCTGCCCCGCGATCATGCAGGCTCTCCAGAAATTTGGTTTGTCTGTTCTTTGTTTTTGATTAAAGAATGTTAGCTACCGCTCACCGCTCGTCTGCAGGCTTTATTTAATGGAAAACTTCCACAACAGGGGGGTTAATCCACATACTCAAATCTTCAGTGCGAGCTCGTCTACTCTCTTCTCCATTCAGAAGCACTCCACGACACGCTCCTCAGTCTGCCATGAATCCTCTTCTGCCACTCACGCTTTTCACTGTCTTGCTCCAGTCCACACAGCTGCACACTGCGATCAATGTTCCCTCTAAGCTGTGCACGTGTGCAATTGTGCACTACTGGCACGGTCTCTGCGCAGAGAAAATCTGTGTTGCGCACAAAAAAAAAATCCAAGCTGAATTGAAATTAAAATTAATACTTTAACAATTCTGTTTGGCAGTGTTAGTCAGTGACTGGCTGCTCCAGTATGGGATTACAACGATGCCACCTTATCCCACAGTCCAGCCAATGATGCGATTCACATTCGTATATACGCAGCTAATCAACGTGGTTGACAGGCTATGACAGCGTCCTTATGTGCCGACACCGGTGTTTTAGCTAGTAAAGCGGCTGATGTGGAGTGAAGCCACGTTAATGACAACGTGTACAACCATTGGAGATGTGAGCAGGACAGACGGAACAATTGACGGGAAAAGTGTGGTCTTTATACCAGTTTTTAAATTGTGTTGATCGGCCACGTAAAACCGGAGTTATCATAAAAAATATCTGCAATGTTTGGTTGTTTTCCTGAATACTGTCGTTGTTTATATTTACTGCAGGAAGAAACGGTAAAAACGGCATTTTTTAAGGAAAACGCTCGAAAGCCTGTGAGCAAAGACAAAACCAAAACACCCCCACCCATTCCTATTAGTCGAAAAATGTACCATGTGGACCAATCAAAAAATGATCTGGCAACATGGCATTTATTGTTTAGGAAGGGGGAAGTTTTAGGAGTGACGGCAGTGTTTTGAGATGTCAAATCAAATCAAATCAAATCACTTTTATTGTCACATCACATGTGCAGGTACATTGGTACAGCACATGTGAGTGAAATTCTTGTGTGCGAGCTTCACAAGCAACAGAGTTGTGCAAAATACAATAACGTAAACAAGCAAAATACAAGAATGGCTACATCTGAAACTAATAAATATATGTACAATATATAATAGTGTATGCATTTCTGGATGTGTATACTAAATGTTTTCTACGTGTGTGTGTGTGTGTGTGTGTGTGTGTGTGTGTGTGTGTGTGTGTGTATATACACATTTTTACAAATTAAATAGAGTAAAAATAAAATAAAATATATAAAAATGATGTGAGAGATGTGAGACGTTTAGCGCAAATCTTGTGTAGTTAGTGTGTAGTTAGTGTGTAGTGTAGTCAATAGTTTTGTTGTGTGTGCCAGAACAATGAGGCGACGGCTGAATGTTACAGGTGTTACAGCAGTGATACATCTCCTGTTGTCAGGCCTGCAGGTATCAGGCTGATGTTCTGCTTTATCTCATAGTGGACTGAAATTGTTTTTTGGAGTGGCACAAATAATTTGTGTGGCATCAAATTTGATGCAGAACAGCTGATTGTGCTGTAAATAGTTTGAAACGTTTATTTAAGAAAACGCCTTTGCTGCATTTTTAGGTAAACAGCTGCAAAAAACTTTGTTGTTTGCATAACTCAGTTACTTTTTTGAAGAAGTAACTATATAATTAAATGCCCAACATTGGTCCATATATACTGTATTTTGCAGACAGAGTTACAGACTCTCTCCCAGAACACAGACTCAGACTCATAATACAAGTCACAAGAGCTTTATTAAAAATAAAAAGAAAGTTGTGTTTTCAAAATTGGAAGTTCAAGTTATTTTACTTCCAATAGTGTTGACATACTACACAAGGTCATCAACAAGATTTTAAATTTTCATTGTAAGTGCCAAAGCAGTTAATTAAAAATAGTCTAACATAAATGTAAATGCTGTAATTTGATTATTTTAATAAACCATGTAACTTGGATGGATTCGATGCTGGCGTGACCACAGTGCACACATCTAATGTTGCTCACAGTGGTCCAAGGGACCGCTCAGGGAGTTTGTGTGTTCGCTCAGACATATGAAATATTAGAGGGAACATTGACTGGGATCCAGGGAAAAACAGACTAACAGGTCCAGGAAGCAAGAAGTAATTCTACATCCAGAAATTACAAACATAAGTTTGATACTAGCCGGGGCTTTACGAACACAGGGCATTCACCGTTCCAGCGACGAGCTGCTCTGAGCCACCACATCAAATAGTAGCCACAAAACATAGGAACAAATCAGTGGCAGGGGGGTGGGCCAAAAGCGAGAGCCCAGTAATGAGCTCTGCCCAGGCAGGTAGAAGGCAGCGATGTTAAAAAGAAAGAGAGAGACACACACAAAAACAAAACTACGGCCCAACATTAGCCAGCTGGAGAGACACGGGGACCATGACACCATTATCACCATTACCCTTTGTGATAGTTTTCATGTTTCATATGAACTAAGCAAATACACAATATATGCAGTGCTATACAGAAATATTTACATACTTATAACAAGACCAATTTCACATGTTTAATGCACTCTTTGCCATTTATTAGATTAGTCACATGCATTATGATATCACAATACAAAACATATCATGGTTATAACTCTATTAAAAACTACTGATCCAGTATTCTCAGCTTATATATCTGAAACATTTTTTAAATTGATTGAAACAATAAGAGCATGTAGAAAGCTTGGTGTCGTAGAATTTTGTAAATAAAGTCTGCAAGACGGAAAGAGTCAAACAATTTATCACTGCGTGCAAGAGAACACGCACACATCAAAGTATAACAGGTTCATAGTAATGAGCATTCCAACCTCGGGGCGTCGCAGTGCCCCTTTTATAACATCACACAAACTCTATGTGTCTTTTCAGTTACAACAGTCTTTTCTCCAACCCAGGCTGTTGGTGAACGCAAGAATGTGTGGGTTGCATGCATGCAAAGGTTATACAAAAATCATACAGTGAAGTTCTAACAACGTAAATCTAAATGTGAGGGTTAACTAGAATTTTCCCATTACATTGGAAAAATCCTATCAAAAAGAGAAATCAAATATTTCAATTCATTTTATTGAGCTCAGACTTGTTGAAAATGCAGAGGAGCTGGTTATGAACTGAGCTTCAGAGAAACACAACATACTGATATTCACTGTGAAGCTTCCATCTTTAAAGGACAGAAGAGGAAGAAGTTTACAATGAATAATTTAGAACAGTTTAAAACATCAACTGATTGAATCCATGAATCTGAAAACGTGTGAAAGAGACAAACATGTACAGACTGAACTATCTGCTCAACTGTCAGAGCGTTTCTCTAACTGAAGGACACTCTTTACACTCAACTCAGCACAGACTCACTGAGGAACCAGGAGACCGGAGACTAAACCCAGGATAAAGAGTTTCAGTGAATGTGGTGTTGAAGGTGTGGAGGTGGATCAAAGTGTCAGAGGAGACTCTGTAGAAGGACAGAGTGCCAGCAGGACAGTCCACATACACTGCTACTCTGTTAGAGAAAGAGGAGGAGGTGGTGGATGTTTGTCTGTTATTGTTCCACACAGAACGAGGACCATCATCATCAGAGCAGCTGAGACTCCAGGACTGATTGTTGTATCCAAACAAGCAGTCTTCACTGTCTCCTTTCCTTCTGATTCTTCTGTAACTCACTGATATATAAACGTCTCCTCTCCACTCGACCTCCCAGTAACAGCGACCAGTCAGACCATTTCTACACAGCAGCTGGTAATGAACATCAAATCTGTCTGGATGATCAGGATATGACTGAACCTCCTTCACACGTGTCACCTTCTTGTTGTTGTCATCAGACAGTTTGATGTTTGTGTGAACTGTGTTTGTGTCAATTGTGAGTTGACAGGAATCTGATGAGAGAACAAACACAATCCAGCTGCAGTTATTGATCCATCATCTGTTCATTGATTGACACTTTGATGATGACTCCTGACATGATGAAGATGGTTGAATGTGTGCTGTTTTTTGTTTTCATGAATCCCATTAAAAACACACTTACACTTCCTCAGACCTGGTCTCAACCATCGGACTCCAGCAGGCTCCACCCTGAGGAGGGGGGTCAGAGCAGCACAGTCAGCATGCACACATGGACATTACATGGCTCTCATACACATACTGTTAGACACTGATAACAGACCAACAGATTTTCACAAATTCACTTCAATCCATACATGGATCAAACTGCTGATGATTTGGACTGATCCTGGATCTGTCAGTACACCCTGTATTGAATTAAATTCAAACTGTGACCATCATTATCTTTATATTTCTCTTCTGGATCTAAATCCTCTGAAACGGGGACTATGGTGTGAAGACGTGTCTCCCGGGGCTCCGCAAAGCAATGACAAAAATATTGGTTTAAGATGCATCCGCACTTACTATATCAGCCCTGTAGGCTCTAAATAACCGTTCTTGTCGCCGAGCATCCGCTCGTTTATTTATTTTTTTTATTTTTTCACTCTCTGAGGTCGGGAAACCTATTTTTGACAACTTCTGGGAAAGGCCGTAGGAGCTTCTTTCCGGGTTGGCTGTGGTGACCGTAGCAGTTGCGTCCGGGCAATCAAGTTCTCTCACTAAAAGCCTCACCATTTGCTCTTTATTTTTCTTTTGGTACAATGGCAGATAAGAGGGAGCACCGTCGAAAACGGGGTCAAGCCGGCGCGGGTGGTTCTCAGAGCCCGGAGCTGGGCCGCGAATCCCAACGTGACGCGGCTATCACAGAGAGCAGCTACGAGCAGGGTGCGGGCGCACCGCTTGGTGAAGTCACATTTACGAGAGCATTGGAGGCTCTGAAACGGGACATCTGCGACAAGCTTGAATGCAAGATTGATACGGTTACCCATACACTGCGGTCAGAAATATCATCTGTGAAGGCTGAGTTTAAAGCTGCTATAACCACCCTACAGGCTACCGTTAATGCTCAAGGGACTACCATTAAAGATTTGGAGCTTTCAGCTACAACCTGCAGTGACGACCTGACTTCTCTTCAATCTGCTGTAAAGGTCCTAACAGAGGAGGTCAGACATCTCCAAGCTAAATGTGAGGACCTAGAAGGAAGATCAAGGCGTAACAATATTCGCCTTGTTGGCATCCCCGAGGGTTTGGAGTCTTCCAACCCTAGGGAGTTTATTTCCCATCTCCTGCAAGATCTTCTGAAACTGAATGAAGCACCTTTGTTAGATCGGGTTCACAGGTCCCTTGGGTCAAAGCCTAGAGAGGGAGCGCCTCCTCGCCCACTTCTCATTAGAGTCCATTACTTCCATGTCAAGGAACAGCTGCTACGTCTTGCAGGGGCAAATTCTCCTCTACTTTACCAGGGCAGAAGGATTTCCATTTTTCCAGACTTCACACCTGCAGTGGCTAAAAAACGCTCACAGTTTACTGGTGTCAAGCGCCTTCTGCATTCCTGTCCTAGGATTAAGTTCGGCCTGTTCTATCCTGCGGAACTGAGGGTGACACTTCCAGATGGAGCTATACGTAAGTTTACTGAACCTGCGTCTGCCACGGACTTTGCCAATAAGATCCTGGGGGGCCCAGCCTCTCAGGGTACATAAGTGTCTTAGTCCATGGGCTGATATGTCCATTTTGCTTAATTTCTTTGAAATAATTTTTTTTTTTTTTTTTTTTTTTTTTTTTTTTTGATTTATAGGATGTGTCTCGTTCTAATATATTCTCATATAATCCTTGATTTGTCTTTGCCTTGTAATGCATGGAGCTTGAACTCAACTGGGACTTCGAATTGTTGGGAGGAAGTGCTCAGGGGTGTGTTTAGCGAGGGGTGCGCGCATCTTGTTAGGGAAGATGCTTCAGCATTTAGGGGGAAGTTTGGGTGTTTTTTGTTTTTTATGTTGTACTGCTCTGTACACTGATTTTGTTTTTTGCGTTTTTTTCATTGGTCAGCTTTGGCTTTTTTCAACCTATGTTTTAACATGGTATCGCAATTAAATATTAATACTCAACAAGCAGGTTACTCATTTAAGTTCTGTAGCTGGAATTGTAAAGGCTTGAACCAACCTATTAAAAGGAGCAAGGTCCTTCATCATTTGCAATTTTTGGGCGCCCAGGTTGTGTTCTTACAAGAAACACACCTAAAAATTTCAGATCATTTTAGACTTCGCAAGGGGTGGGTGGGTCAACTCTATCACTCTACATTTAATTCCAAAGTTCGTGGTGTTGCTATTTTAATACACAAATCAGTGCCATTTGTTTCTTCTAAGGTTATAGCGGACCAGAATGGTAGATTTATTATTGTGAGTGGTAGTATTTGGAACACTAAATTCATTTTTGCCAATGTTTATGCTCCCAATTGGGACGATCCAAATTTTTTTAGTATTCTTTTCACTAAAATTTCTGATTTGTCTTCCCACTATTTGGTTCTTGGTGGCGATTTTAATTGCTGGCTCGGGCCGCTGGATCGATCCTCAAATAAGCCTGGTAGGCAATCCAACTCTTCCAAAATTATTAATACGTTCCTTAAAGAATTCTCTGTTATTGATGCCTGGCGTTTCCTCAACCCTACACGTAGAGAATACACCTTTTTCTCCCCTGTTCATCATACATACACTCGTATTGATTATTTCCTACTGGACAGTCGACTTACTTCACAGATTCGCTCTTGCTCTCATAGTGCTATTGTCATTTCAGATCATGCTCCGTTGACTTTAGATTTGGCAGTGGGCCAATGTTCTCCGCCAGCTCCATGGCGTTTGAATACACGCTTGCTGTCAGACGATAAGTTTACCACATTTCTGAATTCCAAGATAGACTTATTCATAGAGACAAATATTACACCCGGAATATCACCCTCTATTTTGTGGGAAACGTTTAAGGCTTTTATCAGGGGACATATTATATCTTATGCTGGTTTTGAGGCAAACCAAAGGAAAGCAAAATTGTCCGAGCTCATAATACGCATATCGCAATTAGACGAGTTGTATGCTGTTTGCCCGGCACCAGAGGTCTATAATGATAGGCTGTCTTTGCAGACTGAGTTTGATCACCTGTCCTCTGCTCGGGCTGAAGAGATGTTGCTGAAATGTCAGTACTCCCAGTATGAATATGGGGATAAGGCCAGTAAACTGCTTTCTCATCAGCTCCGTAGTGCAGCAGCTGCACACTCCATTCCTCGGATTCAGACATTAAGTGGTGTCTCTACGGATCCTAGAATAATTAATGACCAATTTCGAGACTTTTATTCATCTCTCTATGCGTCTGAGTGTGCATTTAATACGGAGGCTTTGGACTCATTTTTCAATCATCTTAAGCTCCCATCAATCGATCAGACACACAGCCTCCAGCTGGAGGGACCAGTAACTGTAGAAGAGATCATGCAAGCTATCAGCAAACTGCAGTGTTCTAAGTGCCCCGGACAGGACGGGTTTCCGGTTGAGTTCTATCGTAAATTTATGCCTAAACTGGCTCCGCTCATGATAAATATGTATAAGCACTCACTGGAAGTTGGATCCCTCCCACCCTCTCTACTGCAGGCATCTATATCCCTGATCTTAAAAAAGGATAAGGATCCACTACAATGTGGCTCATACCGTCCCATTTCTTTGTTAAATGTGGATTATAAAATCCTTGCTAAACTTCTAGCGATGCGTGTAGAAGCAGTCTTACCATCTGTAATCAACCCGGACCAAACAGGCTTTATTAAAGGGAGATACGCCTTCTCTAACCTTAGACGTTTGTTTAATGTTCTTTACAATCCCTCAGACTCCAACAGCCCGGAGTTTGGGATCAGTCTAGATGCTGAGAAGGCTTTTGACAGGGTAGAGTGGGGATACCTCTTTTATGTCTTAGATAAATTCGGCTTTGGTAAAATATTCATCTCCTGGTTGAAACTTCTTTATACCTCCCCGCTTGCCGCTGTCAAAACAAATGGCACATGCTCTGACTTCTTTCCTCTGTTTAGGGGGACCAGGCAGGGCTGTCCTATGTCGCCGTTGCTATTTGCAATTGTAATTGAGCCCTTAGCCATATCGCTAAGATCAAACCTAGGTATCACCGGGGTTTCTAGAAATGGTATAGAACAAAGAGTCTCCTTATATGCAGATGACTTGCTTCTTTATATCTCAGAGCCAGCATCCTCATTCCCTTTGGTACTTTCAATACTTGAACAGTTTAGCCTTATTTCTGGCTATAAACTGAATCTTGCCAAGAGTGAACTGTTTCCCCTGAATGCTGCTGCACAGAAATATCAGTGCACAGCACTACCTTTTCGAGCTGTATCAGACAACTTCACATATTTAGGGGTTAAAATTACAAGTCATTTTCATGCTCTTTTCAAGCTTAATTTCGACCCACTTGTGGAGAAAGTTAGGCAGGATTTGGACAGATGGTCTCTACTCCACCTGTCTGTAGCAGGGCGCATAAATACAATTAAAATGAATATCCTCCCCAGATTTTCTTTTCTTTTTCAGTGTGTCCCTGTATTTATTCCAATTTCCTTTTTTGTTAAATTAGACAAGATTCTGTCTGGGTTTATCTGGAACAAAAAAACACCCAGAATACGCAAGACATATCTTCAAAGACCGAAAAAGATGGGGGGGATGGCTTTACCAAACTTTATGTTCTATTATTGGGCATGTAATATTCGTATTCTCAGGTATTGGCTACAGGGGGAAGACACGAATAATGCCCCGGCCTGGCTCAGTTTGGAGACTTCTTCCTGTGTCTCAGCCTCTTTACCAGCCCTGATTTATGCCCAAAAGCAGCCTTCGAGTACAGGCTCTTATAATAACTCTATTGTCAAAGTTACCTTGAAAATATGGTATCAATTTCGTCGTTATTTTAAGTTGACCTTTTTTCCCCTTCAATCACCCATCTTGAAAAATCCCTCTTTTCAGCCTTCGTTAGCTGATGGTGCTTTTTATTTGTGGGCCTCTTTGGGTATCAAGTCTTTTTCTGATCTATACATTCAGAATACATTTGCCTCCTTTGAACAGCTCTCATTGAAATTTGGCCTTCCAAAAAGTCACTTTTTTCGCTATTTACAAATCCGGAGTTTTGTTAAGGAGAAATCCTCTCAGTTCCCATCTAGACCT